AGAAATTATAGATCGCTAAGATCGCTAAGAAATTAGAGAAATGATAGAAATCATAGAAATTAGAGAAAGTTGAGATCTATAATCGATGGGATCATCATTCGCTAATTGTAATTGGTGCAATACTAATGCTTCATAACTAGACTATCACTAACAACACGGTATTTATTAATAAAAAGATCAATTTTTATTAATTTTTTATATAAAAATGCCGATCTGAACGTCAGAGGCGGATTTTTGTTAAAAAAAATAACAAAATTGTGTTTTTTTAACATTAAAACACCTTTCCGAACGTCAGAGGCAGATTTTTGTTAAAAAAATAACAAAATTGTTGTTTTTTTAACGTTAAAACGCCGTTCCGAACATCGGAGGTGGATTTTTGTTAAAACGCTGTTCTGAACGACGAAGGTGATTTTTGTTAAAAAAACAACAATTTTGTTGTTTTTTTAATGTTAAAACACTGTTCCGAACATCAGAGGCGGATTTTTGTTAAAAAAACAACAAAATTGTTATTTTAACATTAAAACGCCATTCTGAACGTCGGAAGCAAATTTTTGTTAAAAAAATAACAATTTTGTTGTTTTTTTAATATTAAAACGCTATTCCGAATGGCGAAGGCAGATTTTGTTAAAAAAAATTTTTGATCTATCAGATACAGATACGGATTCGGATTTGTCAGATTCAGATATGAATTTGGATTCAGATTTATCAGATTCACATCGAATCAGATTCGGATTTTTCAGATTCAGATCAAATCGAATTTTGCTTAAATCCAATCTGATCTGATCTGTGCAAGACACTAATTTATATACCATGCTTCAGACTTTGAACGAATTCTGTTCCCTAATTTTATTACCTTTTTTATCAATAAACAAAGTATTATTCAATTTTATACTTAACTTTATTTTATTTTATACTTACTTTATTAATAAAATAGATTTGATTTTTTTATTTGATTTTTGATTTTTTTGATTAAATCAATTCTAATCAATTTTTGATTAATTCAATTTTAATAAAATCAATTCTAAATTTTATATTAGCCTATATTTTAAATTATGATTTTAATATAAGTAATAATATAAAAACTTAGAAAAAAAGAATCACTTACCTTTTAATAAAGCTTGTTATACTCATTATCTCTCATTTAAATATTCAAGTAACTATTTATCAGTTTATTGTGCTTATTCATATTTTTCTTTAAATTTGCCAAAGTTAACATATGGGAGGCAGTCAGTAGAAAAGGAAAAAATCCAAATTTTGGTTAAAATTTATATTATCAATTGGCTGATCTCGGTCATGTACTAAAATTAGATTAATAATAAAAATTAACAAAGATTTGGGATTTCCTCTTTTCTACTGATTGCTTCCCATATATTATAATATTAATTATTCAGAATATCTTGTTACATTGAAAAGATAAAAGATTAGTAGTATTATTAATTTTTGATTTAGGATTTGTAAGAGAATTTAATTGTAAAATAATTTATTAATATATTTTAATTATATTATACAATTTTAATTACTTTTAATTATTCTCAGAAAATATTATAGATATAATAATAATAGGAAAGAATTCAATATCTTAACATAAGTCGAACGCTGATAAATCGGGTATCTTTCTGATTGGTCACTATTTTTTGATCAGCAATCAATAGATAGAAATCAGTAAATACTACAATTGGGTATGAATCGGTTAATAGCATAATCATAATTATTAGGTAGAATTACATAAATTGGTTTCAAATATGATTTTATACTTATTTTAAAAAAATTATAACTATATGTTAAATAGTAACAAATCAGGTTCAATTAATAATTAGTTATCAATCGGTTTAATATCCGATTGATAATTATTATTCAATTAGAATTTATTGATTAGTAACAATTCTCTAACAAGTCTCGTTAACAAGATTTGTTAACAATCCGTAATGAAATTTGTTATATGATTTCATTATACAAATTTCGTTTAAAAAAATCAAAACGAATTTTGTTAAGCGATTCATAATGAAATTCGCTTAAACGAATCTTAACGAAATTCATTATGATTCTTTATAATAAATTTCGTTAAAAAATCATTAAATAAAATTATGTATGAACTAGTTAATGAAATTTCATTATGATTCATTTAAACGAAATTTGTTATAACAAATCTTTTAACAAAATTTGTTAACAATTCAATTCGCTTAACGAAATTTCATTACGAATCAGTTAACGAAATTCTTTAAATGAAATTCATATAACGAATCGTTCAACAAATTTCAGTATAATAAATCATTATAACTAATTTTGTACAGTTCGTTCGTTTAATGATTTTTGTTAAAGAATCGTTAAATGAAATTTCATTATGAATTGGTTAACGTAATTCATTACGATTTGTTTAAATGAAATTTGTATAACAAATCGTTCAACAAATTTCATTATGATTCGTTTAAACGAAATTTGTTAAAGAAATGTTAAATGAAATTTCATTACGAATTGGTTAATATAATTCATTATGATTTGTTTAAATGAAATTTGTATAACAAATTGTTTAATGAATTTCTTTAAGATTCGTTTAAATAAATTTCGTTATAATGAATTATTATAACTAATTTCGTATGATTCGTTCAATGAAATTTATTAACAATTTGCTTAACGAAATTTTATTACAAATCGGTTAACGAAATTTGTTACAATTCGTTATAATGAAATTTGTATAATGAATCGTTTAACAAATTTTGTTAAAGAATCGTTAAATAAAATTTCGTTATGAATCGGTTAACATAATTCATTATGATTTGTTTAAACGAAATTCATATAACAAATTGTTCAACAAATTTTGTTAAGTTTCGTTTAAATAAAATTTGATAAAAATTCGCTTAACGAAATTTCATTATGAATAGATTAATAAAATGTTCTAACAATTCATTATGAAATTCGTTATACCGAATCATAATGAAATTTGTTAAAGCGATTCTTTACGAATTTCATATAACAATTCATTACTTTTATGAGATTTGTTAATTCGAAGGTGAATTTCATCTATCAAAGATAGATTTTACATTTGAATACAATTTTTATTAGTTCAAAAACAATTTTTGCATTCAAATGTGAATTTTGTCAATTGATGATGAATATCTTCATTTCGAATATGAACTATAATATTCGAATATGATTTTTGTTTTCTATTAACTTTTTATATACAATTCACTTATTACGAAAATTGAGTAGATCATATATATTTAACCTTTTTTTAATAAATCAGAATATCCTCTCTTCTTTATAGTTTTTTTTTCTTTTTTTAGTAAAGGACCTTTCTTTCTTTTAGATAATGGTTTTTTACTTATTTTTTTTCTTTTTTTTATAGTAACAAACGTTCTTCTTAGATAAGGTAAATGGTTTTTTGAAACTCTTTTGGTATTAGTTTTTTGGATTTTTGGATTTTTGCTTTTTTTAATAGGAGTAGATTTTTTTGCTATTGATTAAGGTAAGTCTACAAATCGGGATGGTAGTTTTTTCAGATTTTTACTATTTTTTTATTTTTTTTTAATAGAAGTAGACTTATTGTTATTGATTAAGGTAAGTCTACAAATTGGAATAGTTGATTTTAGATTTTTACTATTTTTTTTCTTTTATGACTATTTTGCTATTACAGTCAGGGATTTTATCAAATTTGGAAATCGATTCTAGAATGTTCAGTAGAAAATTCTTAAATTTGATTAGTTCATACTTACTTTTCATGTCCAAAATTTCGGTGGATTTTTACAAAATTTGTTCACTATCAAAACTATACGAATAATTAGTAAAAGACGACTAGTTTTCATAATCACAAATAATCCCTCGAAGTCAACACTCTTTGAAGTAAATGAGAACTAAAAATTCAAGATTTTTGTAAAATAAGTGAAATAGAAATGTAATCTCATTACATAATTAATAGCAAATATTTTAAATAATCTTTTCAGTGTCTATCTATTCAAAACTAAAAGCAAAAGATCTTTCATGCCTCTTTGCAGAGTTAGTTAAAAAGTATAGTGAAGTATAATTAAAATCCTGCGAAATAAAGGAAACACAAAAATGGCGGCATACTAGTAATCAGGAAACAGCTAAGTGACTCAAAATTTATTATAATTATTTTCCCGAACTCTCTAACCTTTATTCTTCTTTAGGAACTTATTCAATTTGTGAGAGACATTATAATCAGATCATTGCTACTAATCAATTTTACTAACATCTCACAAATTCTGTACAAGAAAATAAAAGATTCCGATTTGATAATATTGATGAGGATAATGCCATTGATCATTCTGGTCTTATTGTTGAGCTTGATAATACTAAAAGGCTTTTGGAGTTTAATCAACTGGAAATTCAGCAAAAATTGAAATCAAGAACAGATTTTAACAACCAGATTACACAATTGCAACAGCAACTTAAGGATCAAAGAATTGAAATAGAAGAATTGAAGAAGCAACTACAAAAGCTTATAAGGATATGACTGGGATTATGATTTATATGATGAATAATGTAAAAAGAATGAAATACTTATCAATTCACGATTTGCCAATCAACAGAAACATATCAAAGCAATCATTAAATAGCGAAAGCAGAATGTGAATCTTTATTCGATGATGTAGAATCATTAATCAGAGATAATGGAAGAATTTCTGTAGAGAACCTCATGGCATACACTCTGCAAGAATGGCTCAATAAGTGTAATCAAGTTGCTATTATATTTGTTAAGACTCTTATTCATAACAATCAGGACCTTGATGCTTTGAGTCAGAAAAAAGTTTTTAAAACTGCCGTTGCAATCGATACAATATATGAAGCACAGCATGAAAAGTATGTATCAGAGATTCAGTTTGCGGCTTCAGTGTCAAATATTCAATTGCATGATCGAGGATAATTATTACTATTAATAACTATATTACAAGTTCAGGAAGCTATTCTCAGTTCTAAAAGTGGCTAGAAGAATTATCAGAGTATGATAAACCATTACCCGAATGCCTTTTATTTATTGCATTTGATAATGAATAAAGAGAATAAAAAACTATCTTGACCAAGGATCTAATACAGTTATTTTTCATATCATTACCAGTTTTATTGCTTTTAATATGGTATCACTAAATAAAATTCAGCATACTAATTCACCTTGGTTATATAATTCTCTTGACAGATTACAATATGAAGAACCTTTTGATATTAATCCTCAAATGCAAGATGTTCTCAATAAAGAATTATATAATTATTTTTCTGAGATTTTTAGTTTGTTGTCCAAAGAAAAATCATCCTTTGCTAATACTATTAACTCTCTGATAGCATCTATAGGAACTAACATTACCAATATGAAGAAGTATCTTAATTGTCATCAAAAAAATATTGAGAATTAGAAGCAAACATGCCCAAATTGTAGAACATGACTACCAATATTAGCAGAAATCCAAAAAGAAAGAGCAGTGAATATTGGAGATGAAGTCATTAAACACTCAATAATATCAGTAATGCCACTTATTTTTAAGCCTAATAATATTAATAATAAATCAAATGCCATGCCCACATCTTGGATCAGTCTTACTCAGCAACCAGCCGATTATAGAGTCAATGTCTCAGAGATTTATATTTCTGATCTGCTTAATATAAATCCTAACTTGATTGCAAATATTGAAAATATCCTTCTTCACATAAAAGCAATATCAGGTATTAAGAATGAAACTCGTAAATGGATTGCCGTAACTTGTGATGGTATTTCATACCATCATGCTACTAAGTTAAAAAGAAAATTCCTTTAGTTGATTATTATACTGGAAAACTACATGAGGAGATGAACATACTTCAGGCATATGTAGAATTGAACTGGTAGGTTTGTTTTTTATTAAATAACATAATTTTAATTAATAAATTTTATTTTTTATATTAATAATTAGGGAAATAGATTTAAAGCAATTTGCAATATGTCAAGGATATCAGACAGAAAATCAACTTTCCTATTTCAAAAAATACATAGATCATCATAAATCTTGGAATTCAATTTGCAACATATATCGTCAAGCAATGGCTATAGAACTTATGTAGTCATACGTAAAAACCCATTCCAATCCTTCAGTTAAAAGGTATTTTGCTTGAGCTAAAGAATAGCAAGATCTGATTTATCAAATAAAATACGGGCAGATTTTTGTTTATTTCCAAGCCATCATCAATTATCGAAAGACTGTAAGAACCAACAACTTTCTCTTAAAAAGAGTTGCCAGAAGAGCATTTTCTTCTGTTTAGTCTGCAAGACATCATCCTATCTATTGTCTGATAGAAGTTGCTGATGAAGTTCAATTGATGCAACTTTATCCAGAAGTGCACGAGATCATAGAATAATATAGTGCTGTGTTTAGATCAGGCATTTATGAACAGCATCAAGGGTTAGATGCAATCATAGAAGATGTTAAAGACTTTAATACCACCGGTTCCGCATTATCACCATTGGAAGATTGCAGCTCGTAACTGTAAAAAGTTTTTTAAGGAAAATTATTTAACTAATAATTTTCATATTACTTGTTATTTTCCTATAGTTTATAGAGTTTTAATACATTTTAGCTCAGAAACAATTTGTTTAAATCAATTGGATATAACGATCTTCCAACACCAGGACTAAGAACTCAACTAGAATCAACTATGAAGTGTCAAAGATTCCAAACTCATTTGAGAAACCATGAATTTGTTAATCCAGTAAATACAAGAACTCTTTGCCAAAGTCTAGAGAACGAATATGAATTAAGCGAACAATTAAAAAATTTCACACATTTAGCAAAACAAGCCTAACAAAACTATATTATTGAGACATTTATTAATAAAAATTCATCTCCTTTATTTAAGCAAATCCCGATTACAAAATAAGAAGAAAATGCTTAAGATAATGAAGAAAAATGACCAAGGTGAAAATCTCGTTAAGGATAGAAACTCTTCTTAAACTATTGCCTGAAACCTCTTGAAAAAAATATTCTGAAATTAAGTCAAAAAGGTGAGATGAATTATTAAGTATTTTACAAGAAATAAAATACTTATTTAATTCAGATAATAAATTTAATAATCAAGACTTAGAAAGTTTGTAAATAAATCCATAAAAATAAATTTATTATTTATTCTTTTTATTATAAATAAAGTATATTATTATTAACAAATAAAATGTTCATTTTTACAAGTTTTTTTTTATATTGTAAGTTTAATTTCTATCCACCTCTAAAAGTACATATAGTTTTCTTTTCATTTTACTATGAGTTTTCTAAACAATCCTACTAAACCTTTTCTATATAAGTATTTTATATCGATATACTACATGCTAGCAGTTTTAAAATATGACAATCTGACTTGGTTTAAAATTAACATAACGACTGTCTAACTTTTATTTTTTTTTTAAGTTTTAACATGCAATAGTGAAATATCAAAAGAAAATTCTAAAAAAATCTGATCAATGATCATTACTTAATAAGGTGCGATCAGTAGTGATCAAAATTTGGTACTGCAGTATTGTCATTGGGCATGAACATGAACATTGGATAGGACAAAATTGGACAGTCTGTGTTCATGTCCAAATAAAATTTATGTCTGAGACAATTTTGGACAATCTTATTTATATTCAAAAAATTAATGTTTAATAAATAAATTATACAGATCAAAAAAAAATTTATTTATTTATTTATTATTATTTCAAATTTATAATCAAATTATTATTTAAAATGGCGAATCTGATTCTTTAAAAAGAGATGCTAACTCCCATTTTGCATTTATATTAATAGCTGGATAATTAATATTTTCAAATTCTAAAGAAATATTTTCTTCATCAAATTGTTCAATGTTTTTATTATTGTTTTCTTCTTTAATATATCTGCTCATCCTTGAAGATAATTTCCAAAATCTTCTTCCAAATTAATATTATCTTCAATTTCATTATCTAATTCTTCAATATTAACTTCTTCTTGTAAATTTTTATTGTCTTTAAAACTTTCTTGTATTATATTATTATATTTAATAAATTTAACATCAGATACTATACTTTGTATAGTTGGAAGTGAAATATTTGTTTGAAGTTGATGATTATATGTAATTGTCTGCCCGCAATTTATTCATATCAAGAATTTTAGATGACTAAAAAATTAAAAGAATATATATAAATATTTAATATAAATTATAAATTTAATATAAATTTATAATTACTTACAATTAATCGATTACGTCGATTCGAATGTAAAAAACCTATGCAACTCTAAAGGCTTTCAACAAAAGCTGCATTTACACATATTCCAAATATTCTACATACTACTAAACCTAATTCATTAGTAGAAGTACAAATAAAATACCAATATCGAAATATATCATCATTAAATTGATTCCATGTGGTTGAGTCAAAAGGATAAATTTCTAAACGAAAATTATCAAATTCTTTAAGTATACATTTAGGTTCTTTTTCTGATCATACACGATAATAATATCTAAGCTATAAACCAAATGTAATATAATTAATATTATGTTGATTATTAAATTGATTCATTCGATAATTAGGATGTAATAAGCAAGTAAGTATCAAAAGTGGTTGTTCTCATTTCATTCTAATCGAATTTTTAATTTTACTGCTAAGTCTATATTAGAATAATTTTTCCAAAATTGCATAAGATAATCTAAACCATAAATTACTTCATGTAATCGGGCTTTATCTTTTTGTAATATATTAAGAATTTTATAATGTGGATAAAGTATTTCAATTAAAAGATTAATATGTTGTCAAAAAGTCAATGAATTAATTATTTAATAAATTTCACGTTTTAAAGTTGGATTATCTTCAGCTTTTTGGTGAGTTTCAACAATTGGCAGTTCAAATTTAATTGCTAAAATCTAAAGAAAAAATTATATTAAAAATATTTAAATAATTTATTTATATATATATTTATTATTATAATAAAATAAAATAAAATATTACCTGTAATGCTTTTTGAATTCGCAAAAGACTTATACATACATTATAGTAACTATTCCAATGAGTTTCACCTAGTATAGCAATTGAATAATATTTACCATATTCTTCATATTGCTGATCCTTTAGTTTTGCAATAAAAAATTTATTATTAGAGTTTCTGAAAAAAATGAACAATTATTAGGTATAGTTATTCTTACATCTGAAGGAAGGTCTTATGTGTGAAAAGCAATAGAAATTAGTTCAGATTGAGAAACCCATATAAATCTAATGGAAAAAAACAAATAGTCTACTTACAAAATTAAGTAATCAAAGAATCAAAGTTAATGCTATAGTTACTGATAGTATACCAACTTATGCAGCATCCAAGTATGTTGTATATTTTGTTATTTTTTTTTAATTTTTTATATATTTATTATATTATAAAATTAAATTATTTTAAATACAGTCAAACCTTGATATAGCGAACTCTTGATATAGCGAATTTTTAAATCAAATATATTAAAATTACCTTACTATAGTGAACTAGCCAATTAAAT